TAATATCGATTAAGAAGAATGGTAATGTTTGCCCACCTAATCTTCGAGTCACCTGATAACTTTTTGCACATACGAATAATGATTTATTATGCAGCTCTGTGTGTGTGTTCGTGTGCCATTGTGTTATGATAACTTGAGTAAGCTCTCTTGTAAGATGAGTAAAACTGTTTAACACTTAAAGTATTGAATTTTGATATCATTATTTTCTTTTCTTTGGTCTTACGCCTGTGTTGTCAGATATGTTGTTTTTTGAATTGAACTACCTGCTGAAAACTGTCAGGGACTCTTTAATAATTCTACCACATCCTATTCTGAATAATATAGATGACAGATAACTGTCTAGATATGTACTGAAACACCAAAATGAGATATTTTAGGAGGTGAAAATCAACTGCAGTTGTTTTTAAGTGATAAGCTCCGTTAGTGTATCAACCTTTAGAAGCTTAGACAGTTAATTAACATTATTAGGCCTTATTTAATAGAAGTCAAATATCGGTTAGCTGCTAAATGTATATATTGTTGCTGAGTTAACTGAGTGAAGAAATTATATCACTTAGTGACACTGCGAACCTGCACGGGCTACATATAACTTGTTTCGACTGTTTGTCCAGTCAGACTCATAATGTTATATACCAGATTATAACTAAACAAAAGTTCAGAATCACCAAACTAAAATAAAATATCTGTTCGGAAGGTCTCTAATCATTCATACATGCTGTCAGTATCTTGAAGCTTTTTAATACCAGGGGTGGCTTGAATCACTTGAAAAAATACTTCAGCTGATCAAAATTTGGCAAATTTAATTGTTCCTTGCTATCATGGATGTTTAGAAGTCTGACTAACTGAATTTAATACGTAGTAATTTTAATCGAAATGCATTCTTTGGGGTCTTATCGGTATGTGACGATAGAAGACAAAAGACTTCTTATTTTCTTGAACAACAAATCTGGTATCATTTTAATTTCTGAACTTGTTGCATAATCATATCTATGCATCTGAAGAGTATACAAGAACAGAATATCCACCAGTTATGGTCATCATAGCCATATCAGTTAATTTTTTAACTTTACAATAGCGTTATATGGTTTATTTTGTGCTAATTCTTTGTATTGCATACCAATGATAGTTGTATATCTTATTTAGTTATCCGTCTGTACACTTTTTTACCTGCTTACTTTTAAAAGTTCAACAGCCTAAGGTATTCTAAAGAAAACAACAACGATAATATAAGCTTAATTCATTTTATCACTTTATATGCCTATTCTCTGCATACTTCTCATTTGTGGCTTTTAGTTTACTTATCTGAACACCAATTTCACTCCTTGTAATGTGTACAGCTACTGACCTGTTGAATTCCTTTCAAAATTAATCAGTATTATTAGTTTGAGAATGAAATGATTTCTTCTGTTTTTATTAACAATAACAATAATAATGATAATAATGATTATATTTTTTACGCTAGGTGTACAAACCAGTACTCTATATATGTTTAACACTCATTGAAATGCTTTTCTTTCACTGTATTGGCTACTGTTGTACTCTCTGTTCAATGGTGTATTATTAGATTTGTACATTACTAAGTGGAAGTGAAAGATAAATGAGAATGACAAATGAAAATGAAAACATCTCTGTGTGTAGGTGTGTACAAAAAAACTAAAAAATGTAGTTAGATGGTTAATTCAATTAAAACCGACTGGAAATAAAACGTATCAGTATTTCATGATAGATTGATTCTGTCTCTAACCAACGTCAGTTTAAAAAAATCATTCAAAGCCATGGAAAAACTGACAACCATTTTAGCCTACTTTGGGGACCATCTAATGGCTGAATAATCAACAGTATCACCTGCTAACCCGAAGCAGACTTCTGAAAAGTTACACAATGGGACGGAACAGCTATATAGTTTTTCGTGATTCTTTTTATGATATCACACTGAAATTAATCAAAGTCCTGAAAAATATTCAGTTATCAGTATTAGTTTAACTTTCTGTGGTTAACTTATCTAAATGTGACTGTCGTTGAACGTGTTAGTTGCCAACAGTTTGTTTTCAGAAAAGTCTGTACTACAGAGCTTTTAAGCTCTAAAGACGTTATATTAGAATAAAACAATAGATTAAAATTCAGTTCAATATCTCCCTTATTCATTTAAAAGAATAATGCTTAAGGCTTGTTCTATTCATTGTTAACTATAACTAGTTAGTTATCTCTACAGTCATGTAAATGAAGACACAGAGGCAGAAAGAGAAAGATAGAGGTAAAGAGTCAATCACGTGTTAAGACAAGATGGATTATACTCTTTGTATACACAAAAAATTAAAAGGCAGAATATATTATTATTATTATTATTATATCACCAAAATGTAGAAGTAAAAATTATGTGATACAACAGTCTTGTGTATACGTGTGTTTTTATTCATCCCTATATTTGTATAAATGAGAATTCTATGCAAATGAGTAGGACTGAGTGTGAAAAGTCACAGAGTTACCAAGGTAACTAGAGAATATACTTTTAATAAAGTTAAATTAAAGAATATGAAATAGAATATGTTTAATATTTTCTTTTTTCTTTTAACTATTTGTATATAAGTCTAAAGTAAAGGAATTCTAGGCCTTAAAATGAATGACATTTATTGAGGATATGATGAACTAATTGAAGTATACACAAGAATAAGAGCTGTTGAAGAGATTCTTTCTATGCATCCGTCACTTAATGACCAGATTTAGAGACTTAACATACACTTCGATAGTTTCTTGTGATCAACACTACCTTGTCTGTATCATCTGATAGGTAACACAGGAAGAATGATGACTGATGCGAGGCCCAAAATTTCAATATCTACTAAAGTTGCATTGCTTTTTTCTTTCGTATGGTCTAGCAGTCACACGCATTTAACTTGGCAATTTGTTCGGTCTTTCATCGTTCAAAAGTGAACACTGGTAGATGTGTTAATTTTGCAATCATTAGTCAATTGTCTTCTTATTCATTGTGTATGTGTGTGTGTGGTTGGAAACTTTTGTTTTGTTTAACATAAAAGTGACAAATTAATGCTTTTATTTACTGTTAAGTCCGATGGTCATGTTTCATGTTGTATTGTTGGCGTAGTTTTACACACACAGACATATGTATGTATATCGATTGTTTTCGCCGTGTTGCTAAATTCCTCCCTGTCAATCACACAATTATTTACCTTCGCTTGTTTCTGCATTCTTTATTACATTTTTACAAACAAAGCTAGCGCGCTTGAAACACCGAGATATCGTGCATTTGAAAGACAAAAAATAAACAGAAAATAGTCTACACATAACTATTTAAACAGTGATTATTTACGTTATTTAAAAGAAGTAATATGTTTTATTCAAGTGAGCTAATTTCATTGAATTAACTAAATTATCATAAGTAGAAACTAAGACTATACTATTGTTTCCTTCGCCAACCTACATACCTTTGGTTAAGTTTATTACAAATTGTAGCGAAGAAAATAATGAAAGCAAATGCCAGTCAGTGTATATATGTATATATACCTTTATTGAACCAGTTTATAGTTAAGCGTTATTCACCTGACTTCAGTTTTAATGAAGTCTATGATTGATTTTATGAGAATGAATGTATTCAACAGAAAATTTCGCTTATATATTGCTATCATTAGCATTTATTTTAAATAGTTTTTGAATTTTTTAAATACGTACTTTTCACTGGAGATGTTGATATGATATTTATGCTTGCATTTTCAAGCAGCTGCTAATGTGTCACACCTATTGTTTGACGGTTATTGATAGTATTTGACTGCTAAAACTTCAATGGGTGAAGCTCTGCTAGAATCATTGACTAAGTGGTTGAAAGTTGAGCTTCCATACCCAAGCTCTACGCTTGTCGATATGAGAAAGCACTTGAATCATGGAGGTCATTAAGAATTTAATCAAGTTTATTATTCTCACGATTCAAGAAAGATTCAAGTCTCTCTATTCAGTTCTAAGCCAATAAATAATTGGATATACTACAAACTGTTGCTATGATTTCACTTAAGTCGATTAACCCGTTATATCACTGCTCTCTTTCTTTATATCATGTACCATATTAGTCACAGTTTTCTTTTGTTTTCTGCTTTGTCGAAAATTATGTTCATGTTTGCTGGCATTTCAGTTGCATAGAATTTTAAGGTATTCTGCTTTTTGGATTTTAAATCCAGGAAATTCAAGGAGGAAAGTTATAATGTTTAAAGACAACTGGCAGAAAGCGCTTCAGGCGTATTTGTCTAGGAACTTGTTGTCATTCATGAGCAATGAATATTAACAATGGTGATGTTCGGGGATGATGGAAGAAATCCTATGTTGTTTTAAAAATTCAAGCTCGTACCACATGGTGTTCCACTCAGAGATGTAAAATGATTTTATGTTTGATGGCAGATCATGTTGACTAGTTGTTATTGTAAACACACTGTTCTCAAGCAGTGTTGAAAAGTATAAATAATTATTGTTAGACAGTTGGCAGCAATCGAAAAGAAGACTGGGTGGGACTTATGTTTTTTACATTTTGGTACTCGTTAGCAAGGGATATCCGCAATCTTGAAGAAACTCAAGTTATTTTGAGATTTAAGGAGAACTAACATGCACGAAACCCAGGCTTATGGCATTCTTCCGACTGCATCCAACCACCAGACAACAGTTTAATATGTGCAGCGATAATGGGTGACCTAGCATAGTGAAAGAATTCGGTCTGTACCAAACGAAAGAATAAACACATAACACAAGCTACTGTGTACAGTCCAATCAAAGTAATACAAATAATCATACATATAGTTAGTTAGTGTTTTCGTATCCTGCCAGGTTTTACAATTTTCAATTGCACATTATTTCTAACAAAAACCTACTCAGAATGAGCACAATTATTTGTCAAACTGGATTGCATTCAAATTAAAAGTGAAGCGATAAATGCTTTCATAAGTCAGAGGCTTAAACACTTCATCATCGTCAATCTATTTTATTTTAATTCTGATTTACAGGAATTCATTTGCATAACAATATGTTCAGTCTTTCATCTTATTGCGATGATCGTCGCCGCAGCTACAGTATCCGGTGTTCCAAGTGCTATAGCATCTGCTGTAAGTTCCGATTTCCTTTAGTTCACGATAATATTCACAGTTCTAAGTTTTCGTGCACTTTTTTGGTTTTATATATTATATGCTCTTATATAAAGTGCTGCTTTACAGTTGGGTCTTTTTGTGTATAATAGACTAGTTGGTTACTCTTGGGTGTTTGAAATGATGGGTGTTTTGTTAGTTTCCGTTTGTGTTTCATTATCAATTACTAGGATGCTGATGAATATATCCAAGGTGTCTCATGATGGAATAAAAAACACGTTCCCCCTGGATATAATTTTTAGCTACTCTATCATTAATGATATCGTGTTTAGTCTTGTTTATTTAGTAAGAGAGTATTTACAGGTAAATTAAAGCAAGCAATAAATGATTTGACAATCTATGGTCTAATTTTATTTTTGTATATCAGATTGACTTATCTCACTTTTGTTTATGCGACAATAAAAACTATTCAGACAGTCTAAAGTGAAGTTATCAACAATCCTTATGTTTATAGATTAGGTTTTAATTAAGTGATATGAGTGTTTCTATTTTCATCTGTCTCAGGCTAATTTGAGTTAATACCATCCATTAGGGAAGGAGAGTGATAAACTACGCTGACCAGTTTATCTTTAAAACATTGGATTCATTTTTGTCTTTGAAGCACTTAAAAGATTTTTTCATTCAATTAAGAGAAATATTACAATGAAAATCGAACATTTCATTGATTATTATAACATCGTGTGTCTCTTCAATAGATGCCTTTAAGGAATTATCACATAATTGTAGTATATAGATATGAGTACTGAAAAAAAGCATGTAAAAATGTACTATTAAGAATAAAGAGAGAGAGAGACAGAATTCAATTTTATGGCATACATAGATTTTTATTGTTGTTTTTGTTCTTGTTGCTGCTAATTTGTTTCATTTTATTATCATCACGGTAGGTGGATACTTTAATCAATTGGAGTTCATTCGCATAAACTCAGATTCACATATAAACATCATTTATTTGCAGTTTCAATTAATTCCTGGTTTCTTGTTACGAATAATAAAAGATAATCGTCTATTAGTACAAATTCATGACATACTTATCGTCGTTTTTATGAGAATGCTTCTTCTCTTTCTCTTTTTGTCGAATGGTCTTTTACCTGATGACAAAGGAAACTAATATTCGAATCTATAGAAGGCTTCAGTGTTTGCTATTCACCTAGACAATTGAGTTGTGTGCATGGTAATGTAGGTTCAGTTGGTCATAGGTTCGATTTCTGTTCCACCTATTTCAGCCTGCGTAGCTAGATAGTATCATCAGTTGTCACACGATAAGTGTGTACTTCATAGCCTAGTACATGACACATCTATTTCGGATAATCGAATACCGACCAGCTGATTAAATGACAAAGTAGGTTGACGTATTTTCCTTGTTATTTCAAGTAATAGAACGAAGGTGAAAATTTATCATATTTACTAATCTAAAATTCAATTATTTCATCCAAAGTATCTAATGTTCCTTCCAAACATGCTGACAAAATAACATATCAATTTAAGACTAAGTATTATTAAATAATAACTAGAGTTACTATAGGTGAGTATGCATACTTCAAATAGAGACTAATGAAAATAACATAATCATCATCCAGACTGATGCTTTAATTCAACCTTTCAAAACAAAATCTGATCTCTTCTCGAGATGATGATTGTAATCCTATTGATTTTGCCTTTTTAGAAGTTAATGTGTTTCCTCACTCTGGTATGAAGATATCAGCATATGCGACTTTGTTATTAATTATATCTTTCGTTAGAGAAAGAAAGACCAGATTTGCAGTATAAAATTATATCATTCTATTCCACAGGTTCTCACCAGCTGCAAACTGCCTGAAATTACAATTCTTATTAATAATAGCATTTCATACTTCAATGTTTGAAAGGTGATAAAGAAAACAATATAAGACGAACTCACCCGGAATATAAGCATTACAATTTCTAGTTTAAGTTAGCATCATCCCCCTTTTTTCATAGTTTGGTGGTATATAAATTGATGGTCTTTCTTTCTCTATCTAAATTTATCAATGGAACCAAATGTATGAGATTATATCTTTGTTATTTTATTTTATTTCTAATCGACGATGTATATATATATATATATATATATATATATATATATATATATATGGTGATCTCTCTTGGAAAATGGAAGTATCATCGCAAACCTAGTGGTCTTCTGATTTCCGACTTCTTGCGTCAGGACTATTAAATTCTCGACCAGTACATAGGAATAATTTGGCGACGGGTAAAACTACTATTAACCACCACTCAGCAGCAACATAACAGATACAAAGTATATATATATATATATATATATAGAGAGAGAGAGAGAGAGAGAGAGAGAGCATAAGTTCAGTATTTTTAAAGTTGAAAACGTGCTACTGATGAAAATTAATGACTGTCTGACTCAATGAGTTTTCATTGTGACAGTCTGCGAAGAATACAAACTTCGAAAAGCAGACATAAAGGTGTAGTGAAGAAGTGCAATGAAACGATACTAAACGCAGATCTACTAAAGAAAGAATAATTATATTAACTATAGTGAGAATTTACCGAATCTGGAAAATCAAAAGATATATGGGTGTATCCTTTTTGTTGAAGCATTCACACTGTTTGTGATTTCTCGTATTCATAAAACCCTGGTAGTTTTACTTGTTACTATTCTTTTCTCCTAAATTTTCCACTTATTAAAGTTCCTTTGAAATTTATTTTCTATTTCTCCTTTCATCCTATGTATGCTATACGAAGTGTGATAACTTGAACTGCCTTATTTCTGTGTGAAATCCTATGGTGAAACTCAGTCAACTAGTCACTCAGGCTGTTGCTGTTGTTATTGTCATATGTGATGGTCAGCATGTGTACCTCTTCACAAGCATCGTAAAGTATTGTCATGCTTATTTTTCTATTAAATGTATTTATTTGTCAATCGGTTCAGTCGAATATCTGATCAGCTGTGAGTGTTGTTCAGTGTGATATGATCACTCTCTAAACGAACTGCTGACAAATGTATGCTTTCTTCTTGTGTATATTTGTGTTCATTGCTAAAATCTGTATAGGTGGTTGTGTGTGTACGCATGCTTATGTATGTAATGTTTGTGCATGTATGTAATGTTTTCAACTATGCTTAGGTAAAACAATTTAAGCGATGAATAGTTTTTGAATAGTTAAGAATCATTTATTTCATTTTGAAGAATTTTCAGTTTTGAACATCAAGACATTTTAGGTCTGTTAGTCTGTGAATTCAGTAAGCTCTTACCTGCAAAGGTTTCTTCTGATGTAGTAATTGTGAAACCAGTTATCTTTCATAATGCACTCAGAAGACAGAAAATATCACTATGGTCATTCTGAGAGATACACATTGTTGCCTGCTTTTTAGACTAGCACACTTGGGTTTATCCGTCAATACGGATTTATCAGTTAAACTAGTTTAGAAGTTAAGATTATTTCATTCTAGTCTTTCCGTGTTTCCCTAGGCACATGAAAATTACATTGCATATTAAATATACATAACTAATATCCTATTTGTCAATTCTATTGATGGCTCACACTGTCTCTACACTTACATTTCACACTAAACTTACGAATGATTGCACTTCTGGTAAGACAGAGGTGACGATGTTGGGTCATTCACCTCATTTCTTAAAGACTATTCTCTTTGTCTTCATTATCAAAATTATTGATCTAACTTAGACATATATACAGGTGACGGTTGTTAGGTGACATGAACACGCACTACATGTACAGATAACATATACCATACCAGTCAACTGCATACCATCTTTTGTTTAATAGCCTTACGACTAGATGGAAAAGCTGGACGAGTAGTCGGTTGATAATATGTTGCCACGAGATTAACAATAGTTTTGTTGGATTAGAATCTTCTGGTAATTCACGAATTCTTCCTTGGTCGATCTGGGCCCGATAAATCATATTGATCGGTAGCCCAAGATGGCATCAGATACAGTTGAGAATCAAAACCAATAGGAACAAGTTATAGTTTCATTCTTTCTTCTCCAGGAGGCAATAATATACAGCAACGAACTCTCCTTTGAGTGGGTTGGTTAATTATTTCTGTTTGTTTACTTTCTAACTGATATATTGTTTTACTGGTAGATTATTTTGTTCAGGCGCATTTCTCGGTATCCATACTGTATTAAGTATGTATTACAAATGCATAATCAAATACTGTAAAATATAAAAGTGGACTTTTGAAGTCGAGGATACGAGGATCTCGTTTTTGTATTACCCTCAAAAGAGGGTTGCATAAACACCAAAAAACAACCCTAAATAATTTCGGACCAGCGGCATTCAAATCAATATTATTAGAACACCAAAACTAAGCAGAATGTTAATCTAACTCAGTTTATGCAGTAAAAGTCAATTTGCCAATACTGTAAAAATATGTGTCGGCAATATCGTGTCCAATGAGTTGGCTTTATGAATAACGACCATCTTGGTAACTTTTGTAGAAGTATCAGAAACAAAACAGCGAGGAAATGTGTTGCTGGTAATTGGAGTAGAGCATATATTAAAATATACTGAATTAGACTTTATAGTATCAGTGCTTCTAGCGACAACTAAAAACAGGCTATTAGAAAAAGACGTAAACAACGAAGAAATTTTTTTTCGATAATTCGTTTTCATAAGCTGTACAATCGTAATTATGTCTCATAAAGAACTCATAAGACCAGTCAGATACTGGTAAGTATTTTCCTTGGAAACGTACTACTTATTGTAAGGTGTAGTCTAGGAGGGGCGACTAATTGGAAATTAGAAAAGGGGGCATAAGTCGGCATGACGTAATGAGTGTGAGGAAGTGAATAATCAAAATAACTGTGTAGAGTGGACACAAACTAGTGGGTAGACGATAAAGTGTTTTTATAAAATTTGTATGAAAACGCAGCGTTATTAACAAACATTTATAGAATGATAATAAAATAAGGATGATGAGATTAACAACAATGATGGTAAACTAGTAT